TGAGCCCTGGGGAACACCGCTCGTGACTTATGAAAACAGGATAAATCCAGCTGCTTTTCAGCAATGCAAGATTCTACTTTAGACCACCTATCTGGAATTAATTCTTTGTCAGCAATAACAAAAGACGAACAAATGCCAATGACTACTCCCTGGCATTTACTACCTATCAGTTAATTCTGTAACAGAAAAAGAATCCAAAGTCAAATCGCTAGTAATCTGCATTATTAAAACAGAACACTTTGATCAGTAACAGAAAGCATCACTATCTTACCTTTTCCTCCAGTTTCATATCTTTAAGATGTTGACCCATCACATTTTTTATTAGCTTCAATGTTTCACTTTTGTCACTCATCTGGGCAACCTGATCTTGAAGATTATGGAGTAAAAGCATCACTTTGCTATATTCTTCATCATGGTGATGGCATTTGTCAGATACGAAGGCCATTTGCTTTTCCAGTTCACTTATACGACCAGAATCAAAGATATTTATGGTATCCTAAGGTATAAAGATTTTTTTTTTAATATATAAAAATCAAGACATTTATTTACATTACCCTTGTGTATCAAGTAGTTACTGCAAAATATTGAAGACATGGAAGTTAAGAAGTCTTAAAAGATATGAAAGTTCTTCCCTAGACTGCTCTCCCTTACCTTTGGGGGTTGCACAGAGTGAAAAGAATCAGCCTGTGGTTCAGGAACACGAACAGAGTCATCTGTTCTCTGTATTGTATGAAGTCTTGTCCAGTTCAATGAAGGTAATAATGAAATGAAGCCATCAAGCCCCCAGAACCATATACCTACATCAGAAACAAAAGCAAAAAGGGTGTTCAAGAGAATTCTCCCTTAAGACTGCTTATATCTACAAATTGTCTTCTTACTTAAGGACACATGCTACTTTAAGTTTGCAAGGTAGATGTCACACAGTGGACACTACTCCAGTCTAAATAAAAATCAGCATGAGCCAGCTTCAAAATTGTTAAGTCAAGCACTCAAGAATATTAGGGAACATCCATCAGTACCACTCACACAGTTGTAAGGCAGGCAACTTGTGCCTATATATCATGATATATCCTTAAACTCATACTACTGCTTCGCTGGGACCTAGATCTCATTTATTAAGACAGGCCATACTCACTGAAGACAGATGTAAATACTGCTTTTTATCTCAATGGAAAATATTTTGCCTTATACCCTGCTTACTATATACCACATTGCATAATATCTAATAAAAGTTGGAGGAAACTTAGGCTTCCATGGAAACAATCTAGCATTTCACGAAGATTACACTTATTTTTGCAATAGCTTAGTGAGAAGTAGCAGCATTTTCTACACAGGGTAGCTTCTTCCTTTCTTATTCTCCCTAGTACAGAGAATTTTGAATCCCCGCTCTAGGTTTCTGAGAAGCTTCATCTTCTCCCCAAAGTAGCTACAAGTTTTTTTAGGACATGCAAAGATTGAAACTGCTTTTCAGAAATGGCCCTGCACTTTCGGTAAGTATTTTAAACTGACTTTGTTTCAAATTAGACAGCTGGCCTGCAATATTGTCAACTAACCAGTCTAAATAGCAGTATTTTAAGCAACTAAAGCATGGCCTAGAGCAAAGGAAAGATTTAGGATGAGTTGGTAAAAGAACTTAACCACACTTTTATGGAGATCAACAACAATCAAAGCAACCAGTACGCAGCCTACTCTATGAGCTCATAGCTATTCCTATGAAGGATGTAAAGGGAGGAAAAAAAAAAGGACTTCAGTGCATTTACTTACTCACCCACTCTCTCTGTCTAAAGAGCTCTGTGAAATTAAATCAAGGGGATTCCTTTCATGGTAAGGGGAAAGCTCACTGACTTGTCAGTACTTTGAAAGCTTGAATTACTGCCCTGTTCACAAACAAACTTGCTCTTTTTTGCTTCTACATCTTCTTCATAAACCGAAAGTTCAACTAAAAATGCTATTTTGGAACAGCTGTAGTAAGCATACCCCGATTTGTATTATAACTAAACGATTCACATACCTAGTAGAAACAGGAGTGGGATAAGAAACAGTAATAGCTTGTAGATCTTTGGAAGGCATCTAGAGAGAGAGAGGAAAGTTTACAAGAAACGATACATTTATCATATTTTATTGTTTTATATTATAACTGGGTAAATAATTTGTTCACAAAGCAATTTTTTCAAAGGATACACACCTTCTAAGAAGAAACACCTTGAGCAAAGACATCAGAGTAACAAGTTGATACCACCCAGTTCTAAGCAACCTGAACATGCCAGAAGCTGCCCTCCCTAGAAGACAAAAAGTAGCAGGGTGAAATGTAATTACTGCAGCACATGTTCAAAGAAACCAAGCAGAGGGACATGCAACTGTGGCCAACAACACTTTGCACAGCAGAGAAATGCATGAGTACAGGCAACGCATGCAGCTTATTAACATCTAAATATCACAAGTATGACAGCATTATCACATCAGCTACTCAACAAAACCAGCAGTCATGCAAAAAGATAAAATGCTCATTTGTTATAACAATGCTATCTTGCTGGAAATTCAGCATTAATGCTTGAATCCAAGTTACCACGGACTGAAGACCTCAGCATCTTTCAAGAAATGCAGAGATTAGCAGTATCAGTTTTTGCTAAGAGGAATGCCATGATAGGAAGCAACTACCAAACCAAACACACCACGTTACTCTTGACACCCCATATTCTGTGCTATTCACACACTCATTCCCTCATGAAACAGTCTGGTTAGTCTCCCATTATGCCTGTGAACAGAAAAATACCCTCTCATTAAGCATATTTTGGTCAATAAAGTAAAGCAAAGCAGCACATGCATTTCAAGATACAAAAGCTACAGCATAAGCATAGCTGAATTAGTGTAAGCCACATACTGCAGATTCCTAGTTTGTCAAAAGGAACAGGCAATGCACACACAGAGATTAGGATAGTAACCTGGAGAAAGAACGGCCAGCCAAAGTAGAGACACCACCTTCTGAGACACAAGCCATCCCGTCGCTCCCACTGTTCGCAACATGTGAAGCATAAAGTAACCTAGATTATAACAAATTAACTCTATGTGGTAACAAACACAGGTGAGCTTAAGGTTCTTTTGCAGTACATGCAGTAAAACAGACTCAATCCCCTGCCCATTACATGTTCTGCATAGTTTTAAACCATACCTTTCAGTAATCTACAAACTTGGTTCTTCATTATTTAAAAGCAAAGCAAGCCACTAATAAATATGAAACCAAGTAAACCCAAGACAATTTAGAAACAGAATTCTCACGTATAAACAGAATGATCAACAGCATCTGTGCAGTTAGAATTTCCAAAATTAGCAAAAAGTTTACATTTTGTAGCATGTTTATCTAACAATGCCATGTTAAGTATAACAGAGAATAGCAAAAAAAGTACTACCATAAAAACAAGTTTTAAGCACATCATTACTCTAAAAGCATCTTAGTTGTTCTGAATTATACATTGAGTTAGCTATCTCAGTTCATGTGTAGAAGAGGGAACAATTAAAAATTTTAAATCCTAGTGAAAGAATTAAATAATGGTGTCTAAGAAATACTGATAAATAATAGAAGATAAATTTACTGCTTGTAATTTTTTCATTAAATTGAACAAGGAACTTCAGTATATCAGTTTTGAAGCTAAAAAAAAAAAAAAAAAAGAAAACCACCACCACCAAGAAAACCCCAATGCACTATAACAAAATGCTGTAACTTAAAGCCCACTGAAGGCAACAATTACTATATCCAAGACCACGACTGTTCGTTCTACAGAACAAACTACGTAGTATACATTTAGAAAATAATCCTAAAGTTTTAATTAGCAGGTATGTCTGGGTTAATCTGAGGGATTATAGATATACCAACCCAACATTTTGCAAAGCATTTAGGTGACTGAAGTGTCTCAAATCATTTTCCTTTGCTGAATAAAGAGCACTCAACAGATTCTTGATGCCTCTGTCATTCAAGCTAGGGAATGCTCATCTCCCAGGGAAGATTCTATCCCTATATAAGATTCCTGTAAAAATTGACTATCACTAGGACAAAAATAAAATGTTAAAACCCCTTTATTCAAATAATCTGCACACCAATACCTCATACCTTGCTTTCATTTAAAGGCAGCTTTTCAAACTATCGAGTGTACAGACTTCCCCAAAGTGCAATAAATTAACAATCTGACTTGTTCTTTCTAACATACAAGGTATATGTTCTCCCTACACCTTGTTTTGACTAACAGGTAAGCAGTCTGCCAAGCTGGTACAAAAGCCAGTATCAGAGCAAGAAGTCAAACAGGAAAGATGTTAAGTAAGTTAATTTTCTAGACACTTTACACTTTTAATCTACTTTGATAGATGAAGGTAAAAATAAAAAACACAAAACAATATGTATGATTAACATTGTGAGATTGCGATGCAAAATAAAAGCAAAAGAAAAAAGGTCCAAGTCAACCTGCATAAGAAAAGGTGTGCCAAATGGTCCTTGCTACCCTTTTAGCCCGTGGGGATTGCATGTGGTCTGTGGTGTATATTTCAAGGTGTTTCTTCCCCTTACAGTCATCACCTGTTGGTTGTGGTAACAGTCGATTAATGGGACAAAGCCAGGATCAAATCAAGATTGTTACAAGATAACTTGAACAAGCCTAGTTCATAATATCAGTTATCAAAACAAAAACCACTAAGCAAACTTCAGTGGAACAAAACTTGCTTGGGAAAATATTACAGTACACCAGGCAATCACTCTTCTCCCTCCTACATCTAAGTTGCAAAACAAATGTTTACTTTGTAGCTTCCGTAGAGTCATGGGGGGCATCTGATATTACTATTATAGCAAGAACCTGGTGTACAGCCCAAGGCTAAAAGACAACATCAATCATTATACTTACATATCGATTCCTCATTTACACCAAGATGGCTGTCTTCTCTGTAAAATTCCTTTACATTCATGCTTCCACAGTAGTCTGAGTGAGCTGCAACACATTCAAAAAGCATATGTGGAATGTAACTCTCAAGTTCAAAGCCTGTCATATGCACATTTTAGCCATCATATACGCAGGTTTTTAGCTAACCTGGCTTCGTTCACTATTAAAGTCAGACTACCCACAAGAAACCTGAAAAACGGTCAAGCAAGAAGCCTACTCCGTGCAATCTTATTTTTTCTTCTTTAAGCAAAAGAGGGCCTTTTGGTTTAAAAAAAAAAAAATCTTTCTGCTTCTTTTCAGACAGCAAAGTTAGTAAAAAAATCGTAAGTAACAACTCATCAAATCTTGAGTCCCTATTCCCACCATTCTGTCAAATGGGCCAACCGTTACATCTTTGTGTTGATTTTATCAGAGATCTTAAAAGACTGAGAAGAGAGTATTAGCAAGTTATAAGGCACTGAGGCACAGAGAATGGGAGAGAATGAAGTTTTATTCACACGCAAAAATCAGTTACCTTCTGCCTATGGCAATTTAACTTCATTTGTAGAGCACGTATTATAGAAGAAAAAGCACCAAAGAAGAATCGAACATTTTCAAGGAAAACAAGATGTGCTTTAGAGTAGTGCAGAGTGATGATGGCAGCTTTAGTTTTGCAAGACAGATTTAATCAAGCTTTAAGTACACAGTGGGCTTAAGGGTAACAAGATAGTCCAAACCTAAAGACATTGAAAAGTGAGGATTTGACACTAAGAGTTTTTAAAAATCAACTTAAGTTTCTCAATTTAAACATTGCCTTCTACCACTTCCTAGTAAAAATCAACACGTGAATCTTAGCTGTAAAACAGGTCTCACATACATGAATCCTGATACTTCCAAAACAGAGAGAAAGTATGAGAAGGGTAGTACAACTGAGATAACTAAATCATAATAATAAAAAAGGGAGAAAGACAGAAGCCAGCCAAAAGACGATAGAAAAAGAACACCATAGTGCCAAAGATGAAGCCCATAAGGAGAAAAAAAAAACCAACACACATATTCTGGCTCTGTGTGGAGACCAAGGAAGACAACTGAAAAGGTACCTTTAAATTCATAACCCAGCTTCAGCAAAACCATTTGAAATAGTTGCACTAATAGTGATGCAAAAGATGCTGCAGCATGTTTGACCAATCGCAGAATCTTACTCACGTAGAAATAGGTTCCTCCTATTGAAAAAAACAGTGTGAATACAAATTATTTGCCTACATAAAGATGTACTTCTATTCTCTGGTGACCATTAGCTTGTGGAAGAGTAAGAACAAAGCATGAAAAGCCTTTGTTCAGTCAGGAGTATGAACTTAAGCAAGCATGGTTTGAAAAATCTGGATGCATTAGATATTACAGCAAAGCTTTTGTAAGAACTACACATCCTCAGGAAAATTCCTTCAAGACAGAACGTATGACTTCAGCAAGAATATCTTTTCTTGTGAGAATTAAGAACTCTAAATAGCAATGAATTCCTTGCTTACAGAACTCAGGGTTTCTCAATGATGTGAGCTGTTCATACTGATTTTGTGGGTCACAGCTCCAAAAAGACAAACTACATTCTTATTTTGGATTTGAAAGGGTGAGGACTTTTCACCTTCTTCTCCACCTTTACATTGGAGGAAGTTACTACAGCGGTCTCCCTCAAGTGCTAGAGACACACACTTCTCCTTCAGAGCCACGGGAACAAAGCCACAGCCCACCACACTGCTGCCTTCCTAGAACCAGCCACATTCTAAAAACCTGCCGTGATTGTGTGCCCCTTTTCCCGCCGCCACCCCCCGCTCCCCCAAGTTTAACCCAAACAACTGGATTAAAGTTCAAAGGAACATACAAAGATGAGTTCCTCATAAAATTCTCCTACTTGAATACAAACTCAGGAGCACAGAAAACAGTTTTCATACAGTGTCACTTTAAGAAGTTCATTATGCCACGCCAAAAGAATTCCCGTGCTACACTTCAACTAAAAAGAAATCTTTCCTCAAAGCATTTAAAGTCGCACCTTATAGTCCAAACAAACCGATTTCTTGCTACTGAAACATACTTCATTCAAGAATAACACACCTACAGAATCCCAAAATTGGTTCCTTTCTAATTCAAGGCCACTCAAGAAACAACTTCTTCGTGGTAACCAGGACTACCAACAATCAAGAAATTCAAGATGCTATGCAAGAGGCAGGCAGACACAGTCAAGATACTGAGGACAACCTCAAGACACTGAGGACAACCATCCATAGAACAGAGATGGCCTTGGAAAGGCAGAACCTTATTTACAGCAGATTCATTTGTTTTCGAGCTTTAGGAATGTAGTCACTAGGAAGTCTATTTGGAATCAGTTTTTTCCCTTTGGAGTTCATTTTTTCAAGTGGTTGAGGTTTAGCTTCTAAAAACACTCAATTAAGCTGCAAGGTTAAATGAGGAGGGAAAAGAAAAAAAAAAAAAAGACAGAAGTAGAAAGGTATCTCTCAGATCTCCTGGATAGCAGAAGCACTGCAAAGTAACAATTCTGCTCAATCTTGAAAGTTCAAATCATGTAATAAAAAAGTGCATAAGAAAGTTTCTACCTGAAAACCCTGACCAAAAGCTTCTTAGACAGACACATATAGATCCAATACCAGATTAGGAGACTCTTATGATCAGCGCTGGTTAGAACTGCCCATTGTGTTCTAAATCAGTTTGGAAATGTAACTTGCTACGATACCACAGCATTTTCATTTTGAAATTGTTTAATTCCTACAGCAGCATTGAAAAAAGTTGATAATTATATACCAGAAGCTGACAAGTACATAAAGTTTCAATTGATATAGAAAAAGATACTTCATACAAGCTGATCTCTAGAATTTAGTTATTGGTAAATTTAGCAGGGGAGGAAAAGTGCTTAAATAACACTACATGGAAAATGCATCAATTAAACTGTGCACCATTCTGCCACGCAGATAAAACACAGGAGAAAGTAACTTACTAGATGCATGTTTCTGGCTCCTGTCCCTAGAGTAAATTCTGGAAGATGGCACATGAGAAGCTGAGTATGCTGTAAGAACCTCCTTCCGTTCAGAAAGCATGCTGCAGTCACTGCAAGTGTAGCCATTGATCATTGTGGTCTGTGTTTCTGCTGTTGTTATATCGCCATTTCCCTGCATCAGTGTAGTATCACTACCTAGCAAGCCAAGAGTAAAACATTCAGTGCATTGACATCAGTATTGCCATCACTAGTTACCACTAAATAGAATGCACATGGAAAGAAAAGGAAAGTGTAGTTACCTTTAGGGTCACCTTCATCATCAAGACCTTCAAAGGGAAAAAAAAAAAAAAAAAAAAAGAATTTGGTCCCAAATACAAGGAAGTCCCGTAATCAACTACGATATCTGACATGAACTCAAATTAGAAGTCCCACTAATTTTAAGACTGCAAAGAAAAGCCACTTTATGATTCGTATTTAAAATTTTGCAGTCCACCACGTATATTCACACATTAACGTAGTAGGGTAACAGTTAGGGAAAAGCATTCTACTACGGAAGCGGCAGACAAAATAATATGAATGACAGCTACACCTTTTCTTAGCTCCCATGTGACTTTAAAGCAGCTGATTACAAGCTTACACTGTTCTTGTTGCTTGGTAGCTACTTTGGTACTACTGTATTTTAAGATACTGTTTTAAGAGCCAGGTAATCTAAAGTTTAGAATGTGTTCTACTAAGATTGAAACAATTCTTTACATTAAGAATCTGGGAAGGTCACAAGCATACTGACTGAAAACAAACAGTCTGAATTGGGAGATATAATAAGTTGTTGATCTTCTCCTACACAACACTTTACGTAGACAATGCTTTATGTAGACAACTCCCATATTTTCGTCTTCAGTGAAGAAAGTAGGTTCCAGAAAAGTATACTTGTATACACTGGAAAAACCAAACCTGCCAGCCACACACAAAAACCCTCTCAGGAAATCCTGAAGTGCCACTAATTTGAAATTTTCAGATTAAGGTATGCGAAGTTGAAACATACTTCTGCCTATAAACAAACAAGAAAATGCTTTTCTTTTGGTTTTTCAAAGACAAGTTACATGTTTACCATTCTTCAAATACAGCACTCTATGCACAAGAAAGTAATTATAAGAGATAACTACATCTATACAATCTATGATGTTACATCACAAAATTGTGTATGTTTGCCTGGCATATTAACTTGACTGTGCAACATGTCCTGATGTTGACTATGCCAGTAAATCAAGTTCACACACTGGACTGTGAATTTCTAGTAGGCATCTTAGCAAGCAGACATCTACAGCAAAAGTGTAAGCACATGCATACGTTTGGGGGCAGGATGGAAAAACGGGTGGGGAAAAGAGGGAAGACGTGAACATACGTTTATACACACCAAACCATAAGCAGTTTTCACAGTTTGATACAAGCAATAGCAATCATTACCTACCCCAGAAATGATCAACCTCTGTCTGCTCTCGAATCAAAGATTCATCCAATACGGTGGATACCATTGATGTGTCACTGGCACGGCTATTGAAACTGCTTTGGCTAAAAATGGAAGAGCTGGATAGATTTTTCCTTGGTGTGTGTCTTACACTGCCAGATTGTTTATTCATACTTTTGCGTTGCTTCACCATCCTAGGAAACAAAGCAAAGACAAATAAGACAAAGCACTAAAGATGCAAAGTTTCTGTTAGTCTCTCATTTTATTAAATGAATAAAAGTCAAGATATTTCAACTGATGTGACTAGACAGATCAAATCAGGTTTAAAAGAAAATCCTCACTTTTAAGCATCTATACTTTTATAAAGACTTCATTGCAAACCACATACTGAACATAATTTTCAAAGTATGGCAGTAAACACTGAGAACAAAGAATAAAACAGTAGGTAACCTGTATTTGTACTATTGTGTTCAAACAGGAAGTCTCAAGACTCCAACCAATAAATTAACTTGTAATGATAAAAAATGCTTACTTAGAAGACTGTTCCCTGAAGGACATGTTTCCGGCATAAGAGCTGTCATGAAGGATATCATTTCGTGCATCATCTGATTTATTAAATCCTGCAGCAGCTAACCGTAAACTACGCCGTGACATTCTGGGTGAATCAAATACTGGATCTATTTTGTTTTCAGTCTCAAAATCCAAAGCAGATGAAGAGTAACTTGAACTGCAGCCAAATAAAAACAGCAAAGTTACCAGGTTTAAGAGAAAATTCCGTTAGTAACACACATGCTTTTCAAGCTAGTCTAAGTTTCCATTAAAAACAGTTTATTTGGATTATGGAGCAATTCCCACAAGATATGCCACATAAAAAAAATTTAGAAGTATGTAGATACTCAAGGTTCTCTTAAGCAATTCATATTACAAGTTTAACAACTGAAAGCAAACCACAGTTAGAAAGAAACAACCACCATGGAAACCACGTTTGAAGTTTAGCCAGAGCAAGCATTCGTTACACAGCCTAGTTCTTTTGGGACCAATTTGAGAGAGGAAGCCATTCATGACGCAGTTTCTTCAGTACGCCTCGCAGCAAATTAAAAATCACGATGCACTCTAAGTTGCAAGGTAAAGATTCATTTTTAGTCAAAGTTTATTTTTGTTTGCCAATTGCTTGTTTTGAGAACCAAAGATCCATATGCCACACAACTCTGAATTTCCATCTCCCAACAAGTAGGAACTTCCCCCCTTTAAGATACTTAAAGGCTTCCCTGCTTTAGCTACATTAGTTTAACTACCACTACTTTAAAAAAAAGTAGTTTAAAAATATTTCTTAATTTAATGCAAATCATTAGAAATATTTAACGCTGAACAAATAAAAAACATTTAGAGTCTTTCATCTGTTTTTCTCTGTTTTACCCTACAGAGGGAAGTTTACATGCAGGCAAGCTTCACATCATTACCCCAGGAACACTACTCCACACTTCTACACTTGATTCTCTCAGAACCTCCATGAAAACTTACAATCATGACAGAGCAGCAACACGAGGCAAACACAAACAGATTAAACAGAGGAGTCAGTAAGAAATACATTTACTAAAACAGAACTTTAGCCTAAAGCAGAATACTCACACTCACAATCAAAGGAAACATTCAGTTAGGTAACTGAGCAGAGCTTGCTGTTACAGGGCATGGCGCAGCAGGAGGCCAGGTCCTAGAACCACTCAGCACTGTGACCCAAAGTATCTAAACGCTAAGTGCTCTAGGCCAGCTTTCCTACAGTCTGGTTCCTCTTGGGCCACAGGGATATACAGAGCTGTAACAGCAGTTACTTCAATATTCTTGGGGGGTTTGTTTGTTTTTTTAAAAGAGGAGCTGAGCAAGGTATTGTTAACTAAAGCAGCTCCTTCCCCCCAAAATCCCAAATAAAAACAAGCAAGCAAATTAGATCTGAATGAGTAGATTCTACTGTGCAATCTGTATTTGAAATGGAAGCTCTCCCTTTAAAAAATACATATAAACAGCTACTACAAAATTTATTTGTGCAAAAACAATTTAATGAAAATAATTTTCTTACAAAATCATTAAAGACCTCAGAACATTACAAAGTAATAATATGATACATATTGTAGAATCATAGAATCATTTAGTTTGGAAAAGACCATTAAGATCATCAAGTCCAACCGTTAACCTAGCACTGCCAAATCCACCACTAAACCATGTCCCTAAGCTCCCCATCTACACGTCTTTTAAATACGTCCAGGGATGGTGACTCCACCACTTCCCTGGGCAGCCTGTTCCAATGCTTGACAACCCTTTCAGTGAAGAAATTTTTCCTAATATCCAATCTAAACCTCCCCTGGCACAGCTTGAGGCCATTTCCTCATCCTATTGCTTGTTACTTGGGAGAAGAGACCAGCACCCACCTCACTACAACCTCCTTTCAGCCAGCTGTAGAGAGTGATAAGGTCTCCCCTCAGCCTCCTTGTATTACTTTGGCATACAAGTAAGTTAATATCAGAAGACCTAGTAGCTAAACCACTACTTACAGTAGTGATTTAATTCTGACAAGGTGGGTGCTTTAGAAGTGAGTTTCTTGATTGCTCCACAATGCAAAGTAAAGGACATAAGATTGGACTGTGTCCAAGCATGTGAACTGCATTTCTTTCAGCTAAAAAAACCTAACCCAGACAATGCACTGCAGGAAAGCATCTAGCTGTTCCAGCAGCAAATGGGCAATCAGCCCACAGGACCAGACCAGAGCTTGTCCAAAGTAACTTCTTCAATCGCCCAGAAGTCCACAGATTTGATGGCAGGTCTTAGGCAGCACCTGCTTGATCTTACTGGTCTGCCCTGCTAATGCTGCCACATGCAGTGCAACCCTGTGCAAGGCAGAAGTCTAAGCACAGCTTAAGACAAGCCCAGCATACATTATTATGTATATTATGCTTATTAATCCTTGCTTGCATTTGAGTGGAAGGGGGAGAGGAAGTAAGACAGGAGCCTTCTCATGTGAAAAGAGATTTAGTCTACATTTGCTTAGGTGCAAAAGCATGTAATTTTTACAGTTTTCAAAAATAGTATTTTTTAGACAGCTTGCATTCTGACAGATGTGAAGCGAGAATATGGGCTAAATACAGCTCTTCCCATTGTTCATTCTGAAAGGGTCAGAGCCGCAATAGTTTACTATCAAGTCCCTCGCTAAACAGTTGTTTCAGAACTCAGTTGTGCTATTTACACTTGCCACTATGCATTTGCTTTTCCTCATCTTCACCCAATGTTTCTTACAGATACTCAATTCACAAGAACACAAAGTACACAGGACAAGCTGACAGCTGTGACCAGCCTCAATTTGTTTCTGTTTATGAACACTTGCTGTTATTAAGTATCTCAATGAATATTTATATCAATTTGAGTTGAAAGAATAGCTTGGAATTGGGCTCTACTATCTTAAAAAAAAAAAAAAAAAGAAAAAATCATGGGATCTTTTCCTCTTTAAACAAAAAAAGAGATTTTCTCTTGCTTGGATAGTAATTCTCTTCACATTGGAAGTGAAGAGAATTATCTGTCCTCTGTCAGCAGGACAGTATCTATAAGTCTCCTAACTTGCCATCGCACTTTCCACGCTTTGGAAAGCAGCCTTTTTTCTTCTACAGAAAAGACCGCAGTAAACAAAAAACCCCTGCCTTTTGTTTCACAGGACAGAAGTGCATCTGTACATTGAAGGTACTCCTATCCAATATGTATAGCTAGCAAAAAAACATATTAAAGGTGTGATGCAATTAGCCTACACTCCTAGATAACCCACACAAACAGCGCAGACTCTGGTTCCTTCCACCGACAAACAGCTCCCACAGCTGCTGGCAGATCTGCGACTGTATCTAGTCTTACATTTCCAGCTTCTTAGCTATTCTCCTTCACATGAGCTTCTACAGAATAAGAATGTCCTAGACTTCAGTGGGTTAATTTTCAAGTTTATAAGTGGAATGAGAATGAGGTCTGCCAATTCTAGCACACCTATAGCTTTGTCTGGAGGACCTTAAGTGTCATTTATTTTATAAGTATTCCTTGCAATGACAAGGGCAGTAATGTTCTTGATTATTGAAGATAATAATAGATAAATGCAATACACCTAGAGAATATAGCTAAACAGATGTCTTCTAACATGGACACAGGCATATAATCAGCATACGAATGTTCATATGCCTTCTGACCAGGGCATTGCTTATATTAACTGGCCAAGGACACTACCTTGAGTTTAGCTATTGCTTCAATCAGTCCCAGAACACACACAAAAAATATCAAAGGATTTTATTCAACTGTGCTGCAGAAAGTTACATCCTGATTTAATGCTCTGACACAGGAAAAAAAAAAACAAACAACCAAATTCTCATCAATTTAATCCATATTTGTGAAGAAAAAGCAGTGTTAAAGGTACCCAAATTGACAAAAACAACACAACTCAGAAGATGATGGTGACTAAAGGAAAGGTCAGCTTGAAGAGGGGGGTGTAAATTACATCTCGACAAGTAGGTGAGATTCACTTGACTTGCATTTTGAGGAGGATAAAGGTTATTTAGCTGTATCAGTTTAACGCTTTTCTGGTTTGGGCTGGAGGAGTAAAAGCACAAAGTAGAAGCCCTACAAACAGTTACGAACACAGAGTAATCCCAGTGAGTATTAATATAAATTCTATTAGTAGGCCATAACCAACTATTAATAGCTTTGTGGTATCTAATTTCACTGTACTTCTTTCTGCAGTGCTACATGCACAGGCCAATTTCTTCAACGAAACTCACAGACAGATTTGTAAAGATTGAATTGTCAAAGGCAGAACAAGCCAGAGCAGAGTATAAGCAAAACAAATGCAGATGGGGAGAAGAGGAGAAGGAATGAACTTTAGCATGAAAATATTTCTGACTAGCAACTCTACCTAACTCACCCTTTCCTCAGATTCTTCAAATATTGCTTGACCCAAGGCAGGAAGAGCTACATCAATAATACATGGCATTCTCCACAGATTCAGCAAGCAAACACACAGCGAGAGTCTGCTCAAAAGACTGTAGTTCACTCTTGACACCCTGAAAGCAGTGTACCAAGTAATTTCCCCCCCATTATTTTAATATTTGGGGCTTCACAGAATTTTTCAAGAGGAAATTTTAAAGAAAGTGCTTGCTAATCCTTCCTTTCTACAGAAGGAAGAATCACAATGAATTAATTTGAACCTGGTTACACTATACTTGCCTTCATTAAGTCAGTTACTAAACTTCAGCTTATCCAGCTCTATCCATTTCTGAACATCTACATCTAACATAGTTTAACACAGCAAAATGGGAGGCCAAAACTAGCAAACACATTACAGAGTTATTTTTAGAAAACGAAATTAATTTAAGAAAAACAGTCTAATAATGGTCAGTTTAATAAAAAGATACAAGAAAAAACAAGTTCATTAGAATACAGATTTTACATTCACACAACAAGCAGTTTTGCTAAAAAAAAAAAGTAATCAATATGCAACTTCCAGCCAAGTTCCACACTAGCAGCAATGAGTGCGTATCAATCAGTGTTTTAAAGTGAAAATGGTGCCAAGTTACAGAAGAAAACACACACAGAAGTTACAAGACATACCAGAAAACATCTAAGAATTTTGATGACGTATTTATAGAAACAAAACAGCAATTGTAACTAGGCGGAGACTAGTTTATTCATAGCAACTAATAAACACTGAGTCATTATCTTAGTCATTGTCCTGTTAGTTCAACGTGTATTCTTTCCGCCTTTAGAAGACAGCAGTTATGTTCAAAACAGACTAGATAAAGCATGCTTCTTCAAAGTAGTCAGCTACTTACCGTGAAAGCTAAACTCTCCAGAATTAACAACATTCAGAGAACATATAGTTTCTCTACAAGAAGAAAAGAATTCTCACCTGAGTGCGTATGTATAGCCAGTGTTCTCTGGCAGACATTGGGGAGGAGTGTACGTGTGTAGACGTGAAAAGTCCATGTTGACTGTTTCAAATCATACTGTAAAAGGTGAAAATAAAGTAATGCAATGACTTAAAATTACGTAAAGTCCATGTAAGAGCCCTTGCACTGTTCAGCCTGTGTTATGAAGTATTGAAATAAAAAAGCTACTGTTACAGAAACATGGAGCTCTCAGTATTTCAGCAGTATTGCTGCTGGTGCTAGATATCCCTTATCATTACTGCATGAAGCTCAGTGTATTTCTGACTGCAACTTTCTTTATGATATTCTATTTTCAGCAATTTCCGAGTTCTCTGGAACATTACTGTAATACGAGCCAAGCTCTTATCACAACTACACTACAACACTTCCACAGGAACTAAGTTATGCTAGCATCCCCAAAAGCTGAGCATAAAGATTTAAAAAACTATGTAGCCATACTTTCAGAGATCTGGTCACAATGAGTTTTGCTTTGAAAGCCCACTGAGCAAAGCACAGGCTGTGCTGTGCACCAACAAAGTGTAACACAGATGAAACTTGAGAAAGTTTTTACATACAGTCAAATCATTTTACTCTACAACCTTTGAACACCATCCACTAAGCAGCAAGGGAGTTTCCTTAATTTCACATCAAACCGTAGTATTTGGTATCGGTTAATTGTCGTAAAAACACTGAATACACACCCTAGCAGAAAAGCCAACTGCAAAATGACTCACATGGCTAGAATTAGGTACATTTTCCAGGCTTCCATCCACTTCCAAAAAAAAAAAAAACCAAAACCAAAACCAAAACCCGAACCCAACCCACACTTGTAAAACTTTCCATGGGGTCTTTGAAAGGCATTATAGATTTAGGAAGAAAATAAAAACTGATGTTGTCATATCAAGAAACTTGCAGAGCTGCACAGGTGACTACTTGTGGTATTATGTACGATTTGACTTTTAAATTCAAAATATTTGCAAAAAACCGTGAGCCCTTCTCAGTTTCATTAGCCACAAGAAAAGTTTCATTTTTCTAGAAAAGATTCTTTGATAGTAGGTTATTCGTGGTTAACAAATAGGGATTTGGCTATCCTAGATTTGCATGGTGAGCAAAGCAGAATCCTGGCTATTTTCAGATTATCTACAGCTCCTGTTTCAGCAGCAGTAAAATATATTTCACACAACCGTGTTGACATGCCTAAACTAAGATAAAAATATCCCTAGCTACACTAATTCTTATAATCAAAACATCAACAAGTATCTCATTTTGGAGACGCACTTTGCTATGCTGAAATAAGAGTTTTGTACAGCGACATATATATAAGAAATAGACAGAAAGGACAGAATCACAGGTAATAGTTCAAAAAGGAATCTCTACACATAACACTAAAATGCTCTTCATCAATCTACCTGTAGCCTCCAAATCCTGATGTCAATAAAGCAGGAGGATATTTCCATTACTACTGAAGACAGAGTTTCCTTCCTGTTTTTAAAAATCAAAACTTACAGGCCTAAACATTGTAGCTTTCTGAAAGCAAGCACCTCCCACACATATATGGGGTTAATGAAAATTTAGGTCTCTCACTTCCGCTATTTATAATATTAAAACACTGATGTCTAGAGAAAGCATCTCCATTAAGGGATCTTTCTCTAAACTTACTTCACTTGTCCCAGAGCCATAATGCTTTCACTGGCTTGTATATAAAATTTGTTGTTTGTTTAGAGGAAGCTTAAATCAGTAGTGCAGAAGTATTAGCAAAGCAGTCTAATTCCCTTGCTAGAATAAGCAGCAAATACTGCTAGAATACACAACAACTGCTGCCATACTTTAACAACAATTTAGAGCTCATTTTAGGGACCAGACAGTGATGATTCCTCAGTAATGAAAGTGGAAATACAGTGAATTTCAAGATGCGGGATGTTGATAACATCAGATAGCACTTGTTTTAAATAATAAAAAACCAGATTTCTCAGACATATGACTATTGAAATTAAAAAACACGATTAAGGTTGATCTGTTTAAATTGGTCCATCCCAATAGAAAGATTTTTGAAACCACAAGCCAGGGATACTTTTGTTTAGTTTCCACTGGAGCTGATCTTCACTACTTAGCACACATCATTTCGTCAATAAACCTACTTTTTAACTGGCAACTCAATAGCTGATATAATGCTTTTGACACCCAGCAATATTTTCCCACATGGAAAGCTAGGCTATGTGAGTGAGCTTTCCGTAGCTACCCAACTCCTCCCTCTGTCTCTGCTACCCATACAGGCAGGGCAAAGGCAGACTTTGAAAAATAACATATTGACTCAGCTTCTTTCCTCTTCTCCTTTCCCACCAGTTCTCTATTTACTTGATTTCTAAATAAATAAAATGCTACAATTTACATTATATTCCTTATTTGCTAAGGTTTGAAATGTATCATTAAGTTAGTATTAGACAAAATAGGTACTTGACAATGGCATTGCTAACCGAAAAGCCTTGCGGGTATTTATGCGTAGGTCTATTAATAGCTGGTTTTCATAGCCCCAAGATCTCGGGTAAAGGTAACAGGTTGGCCATTTAAACACTACATAGATAGAAATCACTCTTAGAAAATTTAGGGGATTGGTTTGATTCACTGTTTGTCTGATGCTCTAAAATTAATTCAGACTCAACAGAAAAAACCTTTACCCAATTTTTCAAAGGAACAAAACAGCCTTAACTGACTTAAGCAGAACTTGAAAGTAATCTTCAGAGATAACCACCACAATTTTCAAAAACAAGCATCTAAAATTTACTATCAAGCTGGATTTTTTTTTTTTAAACCTGACTACAAGTTCAATAGCTTAATTTTAGTAATCCATTTCTTCAACACCCCACCCCCCCAACAAACGATCAACCCAATTTATTTAGAAATATTCTACATACTTATTACAGCAGAACTTTAAACAGAACAGACCAGGGATGGGTGGAGGACAGTAACTCCCTCTAATTTGTTCACTCTTGTTTAACACCACTCCACCTTTCATATATTATTTCTTCTCGTTTATGAAACTTTCACTTACAACTGGAACAGAAAAAGAGACATGCTAATAAAATATTCTGGAAATTTAAAACCACAAAGCTTGGCAGAGAACCTGAGAGGTAGACACAGTACTTAGTCCCACTTTAAACACTTCTGGGTGCCCAGCAGATTTCCGATTTAGGTACCATAGATCTGTCTGGACTCACATTCGTGTAGGCTTTTGGTATCAGCTTTGCTGCAATCATTACTGGGCCCAAACTTTAAGTAGCCCGTTTTCCTTCCTCAGAAGCCCATAAACATCTATTTTTAAGTACTAAGGGATCTATAGTGAAAGAACTTAGCATGTAGTTAAAACCCAAGTAATGAGAGTACATTTATAAGACAACCTAGAGGCAATTAGAGAAGCACACGTTTCAGCTAGAATGCAAGTGGACACCAGAATGCGCCTCAACTTAGAAACCAACTTCCACGTTCCTGCAGAGGAGACAGCCGGACTATTTGCTTCTTTGGGGAAGCAGACAACAACAATCATCTCAAGTATCATCTCTCCTTTGCAATTCAACTGAATCAGTATTACAATAAATCAGCAGAGTAGAAGGGAAGGAGAAGACACAGATTCTGACTTGGCCAGAACACAAGGAAGCACAGGGACTCCTGTCATCAGTGCAGCAGAATTTACCTTTGCACAAAGCCCCTTGGCTGTCTCTGGAGGATGTGGACTACGAAGCATCTGAGTGACATGAGGCCACAACCACTACCTCATGAGCCTGTGCATCTGAAAATCACTTTCAGAATCAGCCAGCCTCAATAAAACCCTAGTACCACTGCAGCAAGCTTCCTGGCTTTCATAGAAGATGATGAGATGCTCTGATAGCGGACTTTAAGCACAGAAGCATCACAAGAGGGGAAGCAGCACCAAATACACATCATATATACACTACAGGCACGTGGCAGGACAAGGATGAACCCCCACTTATGTCTTTTTGGGTACATAAATAGACTTCCACCAACATACTATCTAGGCATTTCCTCACAAACACCCTTTGTGATAAAGGAAGCGGTAAACTGCCATTTCACAAATGGAACCCCAGCAGAGTAGAAATATTCACCAGGAAGTCTGTTATAGAATGAGAAAATTTGCAAGAAAGCATGTCTTTTTTACATTACAAGGGGTAAAAAAAATTATACATTTGAAGTCTTAGAGAGATGTTGATAGTAATAGTACTACTTCAATTAGAACCTATTCTATCCTTACCTTTTAAAGCAAACAAACTAAGTTTAAGTCATTATGATTTAACGTACTAGTGCCACAAAAGCTAAACAGACTTCTGGGCAAATTATTAATAACAATAAAACTGGAGTATGCAAACCTATCAGTTCCTGAGAGCAAGCCATTTTTTAACTTGTAATTTCAATTTCTATTTTCTACTATTATTCAGAATAACCTAAAATTAATCTTTCTGAAAAAAAAAAAAAGGGAAATTCATAACTAAATATACTCCACAAAGAATGTTTCCACATACCCAATTAACTACAAGTTTAATCAGGCTGAAGAGCAAAGAGCTCCAAGCTAAATCACTTTATTAAAACACACATTCTTAAAACATTAGTATTCCTTTAAAACAAAAACACAATAGCAAACAAACAAAAAAATCCCAAGTAATAAAATTCACATTTTAAACTAGATGTTACCATTGCGTATTACAGCAAAGGTCCCCAAACACAGGTGTCAAACTATAACGCTACTAACAAAAAAAAGAGGCTCTTCCCAAAGCAGTAATATTGCATATTCACACTAAGTACCCCTTCAAATGGTTTTTAAAAGGAAAGTTGATAGAAACCAGCTATACGTATACGGTGAAACAATAAACACATCTGTTCATTGTTTACACACAGCACCTGAACTTTCTGACGGCAACACACGGCAACACACGGCAACACACTGAGTCATTTTATAAGCTAGGAGCCTCCAGATCATCTCACAATTAAATACATACAAAGACTTCAGCGCACAAGCCTCACCAGGCCTCTGCGTTTAAAGCGATTCAGCGCTTTGCTCAAGGCCTCCCCCA